AGAGGTTTAGTCGGCCTTTTGTTTAGCACGTAGGTATTAGTCTTAGGCGTGCTACTAGCGCAATATAGGGTTGCTAAGGGTGTTTAATATAATAGTCTTATAGTCTTGCTATTAAACAGCGGTCTAGTCGTAAAGGGAATTAAAATAGTTATCCTATATACGCTTAGGGTTACCGTTAATATACTATATAGCATAGACAACTAAGGAATAGTTATCTAGTAGCGCTCTCGGTACGTTGCGCTAGTTAAGCTTATAGTTACGAATATAGTTATTATATTGCTTTCGACTAGAGCTATTAAATACGGTATAGTCCTTAAGTTTAGTATCCTTCTTCTAGACTAAGACTAATAGTAAGGAAGGCCCTGCTATCGGCTTAGTATTAGTTGCTAGGGCTTCCCGTAGGCGGCGAATTTCGAGGAGGTTGTCCTTTAGCTATTGTTCTTAGCGTAGGGTAGTAAGCCTGTTTTAAGTAGCTTCTTAAAGTCTCCCTACTAGTTAGGGGCTAAAGGCTAGTTAGCTATATCGTCGATTAACAATATTATTAAGAATATCGTTAACGCGTAACGAGGGGTTATCTCCTTCGATTATAGGTTCTTTAGTAGGCCCTCTAGTAGGCTCTTTAGTAGGAGGCACTTTAGTAGGTGCTTTAGTAGGCACTTTAGTAGGCACTGTGCTACTAGCGTTGTCGTTGCTAGCGCTGCTAGCGGCGCCGCGATTGTTATTGCTTCGTAATAAGCCGGCTATTATAATAGGGGGTAGTACTAATAATGTATTATAGCCCCTTATAGTACGGATATAGCGGAATTAGTAGGTATCGGTCTAATATACTTAACTTAGTATAATAGGCCGTATAGAAGGCCTTGCTTAATAATTAGTACGGTTGTTTTTAGTAGAATAGTACGTATAGGTCCCGTTCTTCGGGCGTAATATAGTTAAATCGATAGTTTTCGTAGCTATACCGCTAAAAGCTTAAAATAAGGACTATCTAGCTGCTGCCCTTAAAGGGTAGATCGAATACTATATAATAGGGGTTATATTAGTAGGTAGATAGGGTAGTAGTAGGTATAGGTAGTATTCGATAAGGAGCTAGGAGGAGAGGGAGGAAGGTAGGTAAGTTAGCCTATTGCTAAGCGCTAAGCCCTGCCTAAGGCACTAAGACCCTAGCTTCACTTAGCCTAGTTATATACTAATTATATATAGCCTCTAATAATAGTATTCTCTTTAATTATAATCTATCGTATTTTATATACGATTATATATATAAAAGCGGACCTAGCGTAATAGGATACGAATTCTAGTAATAAGAATATAATACTTCTAAGGATATATATATCTAGTCTACTAATAGGCGGTAATAGCGGCTAAAGCTATCTATCTAGCCTAGTAGATAGTAGCGGCTCTAATATCTATAAGTACTAATAATTATAAATAATAAGGCCTTTTACGGATATATACTAGCTAAATTTCCTACCCCTACGTATATAGTATTCTATAGAGTATATATACTATATATAGATCTATATACCCTATCCCTAAATAGGACTCTAATTACCTTAACTTAGTTCTTATTATAGTGCTCTATACGTAGCTATATATAAAATTTTAGCGGCATATTACTATACTATCGAAAGAGAGATATATTAAGCTCGAGAAGTTCCTAGTCGGGACGGCTTCGATGTAGCCGAAGATTTGAGTTTTAACGTTTAGCGCCTTTCGGATCTCTCTATATTCGGGGTTGCGTTGCGTTAGCCGCTGCACCCCTCCCCTAGCCCCTGCTTAGCTCATCTTAGCTCAGCTTAGCGGAAGCCTAGACATACGGGCAAATGCTAATCGGTAAGTGCCTCGCGGCTATTTAGCAAGTAATCTATTATATACTAAGCCTAGAAAGGTTAAGTACCTGTTCCCTTTAGAATCCCTTGTTTTGTATATAAATCGCGCTCTTCTTTAGGCATTAGTGCTTCGCGTCTGCCGGACGCGTACTTTAGAAAGCATGTTTATAAAAATTTAATAGTATAGCGATTTCGAGGTATTGTTCTTGCTACTATAGCTATGTCTTCTTAAGTGCTATACGAGTCTTCTATTCTCGGCGATTTCTTCTAAGATATCGATAAACCTAACTCTCTAGGGGATAGCGGTATTAGTAAGGATAATAAGGAGGTAGATTTAGAGGGTTTGAACGACGAGGAACGCCGCGAATATAAGCTCGAGAGATAGGCGCGGAGGGAGGGTAGTAAGGATAGTCGTAAGGAGGGTCGTAAGGAGGGTAGTAAAGAGCTAAATCTCGAGGAATTAGCGACTTAGGCACTCGAGGAAGAAGAAGAAGAAGGTAAAGCTAATAAGGATAATATTCCTATACTATTGTTAGCTCCGCCGAAGGACACTTATCGCTCGCTAGATAGTGCTATTTAAGCCGTTTAAGAATACGCCTTTAGCGCTAGATACTGCTAGCGTATTAAGTCCGGAAACAAGTCGAAATCGGCTTAAAACTACGGTCTCTAGGTTTCTCGCTATCTTATGTATACGTAAGGTAATAAGCCGCCGGATAGAGAGAATTTCGTACGCAAAGGAGCTAGCTCGGCACGAGGTAGTTGTCCGGTATCGCTATAGCTCCGTGCCTGCGACTCGAAGAATCTACTCGGTCGCTAGAAGGTCGAGAATGCTACTAGAGTCTATAACTATAAGGCTGTCTATAGCGCTTAATTCGCGCCGCATCGCCGCCGCTAGCGTAATAAGGTTATATAGAAGGCTATCGTCGATAACCTAAATGCTAACGCTTCCGTTTATACTACGCTTAGTCGATTAATGAATAAGACAGACTGTAAGTGCGAGAAGCTATATTTGAAAGCTCTCGGCCGAGACTCGGCCGGAGCTAAATTCTACCCACTTTCGCACTTCTTCCTTCCTTTAACACTTTACTAATAATAATGCAGGTATATAGGTTGTTAAGGACCTTCTAAACGTACGCTAGGCTGCTCGGAAGGCTACACAAGGTAACTTAACTGCATTAGAAGCCCTTTTCTAGCTACTAGACTAGCTAGGTTTCTACTAGAAGAAGGAGGTCGATTCGGAGGGTAAGTTAGACAAACTGCTCGTTCTCAACCTATAAATAGCCGAGTTATATAAGCAGTATCCGGACTATCTTATTATCGACAATACTTATAAGACAAACAAGTATAACCGTCTACTTTTGAATATCGTATCTAGCACTAGAGCTAGCGATATAATATCTCTTAGATACTGTATTATAGGCAACGAAGACGAAGCCGCGTTTACGTAGTTTAGTAAGGCCTTTAAAGAGCTATGTTCCGACTATAATCTACCTCCGCTAGGCCTATAGGTTACTAATCGAGACCGTAGTTGTATGAACGCACTTAACAAGGTTTATCTACGTACACCGGCTCTTATCTGCGTCTAGCATGTCTTTAAGAATGTCTAGGCTTAGGCACGGAAGTTAATGCTATAGAAGCAGGTTCTTAACGAAGAGACTAGCAAGAACGAGTAGCAAGACGATCTAGATTATGCTACGTTTGTTAACAACTTCTGTACCTGTATCTACGCTAAGACTATTAAAGAATACAATACTAAGGACTAGTAGATAGCAAACTACGAGAACCCTTACTATATAGCCCTTCGAGAGTATATTTACCGTAAATACTAGGCTTATAAGGACAAGTTAGTGCACTGTTTCTAGTAGAAGAAGTTCCCCTTCTACGGGCAATTAGTTACTTCGAAGGTAGAAGGCGCTTACTTAACAATAAAGAAGTGGCTTACTAGTAGGCGCTATAACATCCTTACCCTCTTCCTTAAACTCCGCCCTTAGTAGGCTATTCGTTACTTAGAGATTATACGGCGGATAGGACAAGAACGTATAGTAGTGCCTATTATACTCCGCCGACCTAAGTTTGCTAAGGTAAATAAGAAGATCTACCGCAAGGCGTTATAGAAGGGCCTTAATTAGCTTAAATTAGCGTACGAAGAGATAACTAAGCTTGCTAAGGAGCCTAGCAAATAGCGGTCAACCTGCTTAGGTTGCTTCTATAAGGTATAGGGTATAGTCTGCAAGCATACGATTATTAATACTATTAAGTCGGTTAGATCCTTCGAATTCGACCTATATACGCACTTCGATAGACACTAGCATATCGACAAAGCCGCGGCTCTAGTAAGGGCTATTATTAAGCTAGAACGGACGGTTTAAGAGCTATCTACGTTGCCTAATAATCGCCGTAGCAGAGGCAGAGGCAGAGCGGTACCTGCGAGAAGGCACGTACGTACTAACTAGCGAGAGCCTTCTAGCTTCGAATACGTAGATTAGTCAAACTAGGCCTCTTAAAGAGGCCGTAGTAGGCGTACGAGGGCATTAACTTAACGTGCGGCAATACAATAACTACGGCCTTTAGTACCGCTAGTTTATATACCTACTAAGCGCTATAGCTATATTAGCAACGATCTAGCTAGTATTTAAAGAGCCGCACTTAGTAGACACCGTCTAATAGCGCTAGTAGTGCCTTACTCTAAGCAATAGTTTGTCTAGTTCTATAGCAATTAACCTATATAGCCGTAGGCTATAGGACTACTAGTAGCGACTTAACCGACGATATTTAGACACGCTCCGCCGCTATCAAATTAATAGGTATTTACTTAGCAATAGCACATACTAGGCTCTATAGCTCCGCTAGTGCTAGGCTCTATAGCTCCGCTAGTGCTAGGCTCTATAGCTCCGCTAGTATCTACCGCTCTATTGCGTAGTTAGTAGCAAGGTCTATAGTAGTAAGAGCCGCGCCTTTATCCTCGTAGTTATTAGTATGCCGGCTATAGTAACTAGTTCTAGCAGTCTTATATATCTACGAAGCTAAGGGCCTTTAGAATTGCCTCCTTCTTAACCCTAATCGTTACTATATACGTGTAGTTCCTACGAGGAGCGCTTTAGTCGATTTGTACGGCCAAATACGTCCGTGCGTGCTTATAACCTAAACCGGACGTATATAATGGATCACTTGCTAAATAGCCGCAAGGCACTTGCCGATTAGCATTTGCCGGACATACGTCGGCACCATGTCTTGCCATCGGGAGAAATACTGTCCGACCAATAACGCAACGATGCATTCGACCAGCATTTGGCTACACCCTATAAGATAAGCGAGCATGTGCTTGGCTTGGCGTGAAAGGTGCATGGCTGATGAGTGCGTGATGGGGTGACGTCCCGAAACATCCCTGTCCCCCGCAACGAAGATTTTCCTGAGCGCACGCGAATGCATCCAAGTTCTATTTCGGGCCCCAAGGTCACCAGCATTTTTCTCGATCTTTTCTCTCGCCTCAGTCTCGCCCAATCGCTGACTCGCTGGCACCAGGCGGCCACGAGCATCGGCGGCTGGCTGCGCTGCGCCTTGTGCGCAACATGTCATGAGCAGGTGAGACAGCGACGCGCCGGAATCCGTGTACCAAAACATTCATACCGTATGCCACGGTGCACAGCACGCGCGCGCCAACATTGGAAGCGAGGCCAGAGCACTTCCTTGCCATGTGTCAATTGTGACCACTCCCACTCTTCTCGGCCGGGTTCGATACGATGGGAACGTTCCATGCGTACAGCTGAGTGAGGCCCTTGCCTAGTGTATATCGCCTATGTCTGTCTGTCTGTCTCGTCGCCGGTCGCTGCTGTTCTCGTTCTCGTCTGGTGCGCCGCGACGACAAGTAAGCTTTGCCAGGAGGCGGTCGAAGCATCTCCTTCCAGCCAAGCGCAGGAGCGCCTCGGCTCGGCGTGTCGCAGCACGTGTTTAATGAAACATACAGTACGACACTGACACTGCGCACAACAATCCACGCTGCAAAACGAAGAGTCGCTACGCAAGGCCTTGATGCCCATGCCACAGCTTTGCTTCTATAGGCATCATGCGATGATCAGGGAGCGCCCAGGTGGTCGTGCGGTGGACTGGCGGCAACCTCGTCGATACTCCCCCTATTATTATTCGTGTCTTATTATTATTATTCAGCTCCCGAACACGAATGACCGCCACGCGCCCAAGCGAGGCCTCGACTCCTCGTGTGGCCCGCATACTAGCCATCCATACTAAGAACCGTTGCGACGCCTCCCGCTTGGGGCAATCCAATCCAAACCAATCTCCCTTCAAGTACTTCCCTCACCCACCAATCTACCCTTCGTTCTCCATTCGTGCTTGATACTTCTGACATACGTGCTTGCGTGCGACACCCCGACCCTCGTTTCTCTTTTCACCCTCTCACAATCTTTGGCACGTTCTGTTCTTCCTCATTTCTCCTTAGTCATGAAGTTCTTTCCCTTTCTCTCCGCCGCCGCAATTGCCTGCACTTCAGTTCTCGCACATCCACTTCACCCTGACGAGCACAGCCATGTATTGGAAAAGCGCCAGCAAACCAACGTTCCCTTGCTCACTCCCAGCGGATCTACATACCCTCGATTGGAAGTCAGGCAATTGAAGGACACAAAGCCTAATCAATGGACTCTCCTCGTTCTTGCCATGAACCAATTCATGACCTCGAGCGGACAGAGCAGCTACTTCGCCATTTCCGGTATCCATGGCGTGCCCAGAGTCAACTACAACAACGTTGGCCAATGTAGCTCTTGCGGTGGCGCTGATGGATACTGTGCACACGATTCCGTTCACTTCCCTGCATGGCACCGCGCATATCTCGCCTTGTTTGAGCAGGAACTTCTGAAGGTCGCTATGAACATTGCAAACCAATATCCATCCAGCACCAGAGCGAGCATGGTTGGCGCTGCGACTCAATTACGTCTGCCATACTGGGACTGGGCCGCAAAACCACCTTCAGGTCGACCAGTTCTTCCATATATCGTCACCGATGTTGAGGTCACCGTCAACGGACCCCAGGGCTCGACGACCATCACGAACCCATTCTTCCGATACGACTTCAAGAGCACCGAACGAAGCCAAATGTACTATGCACCCTTCACCACCTGGACTCGCAGCTATCGCTATCCAACCAGCAATAGCGCCAGTGCTACCAGTAACACGCAGGCCGCCGTCAATGCCATGACCCAGAATCGTCAGAGTTTGCAGGATCAAATCTACCAGCTCTTCACCAACTGCAAGACTTACCTCTACTTCAGCAACGACGATGCCGGCTCATCCACATCTGGCTGCTCTAACTCGATCGAGGGCATCCACAACACCATTCACGTCCTTTCCGGCGGTCCAGGAACCAGCTCGGTCTCTGGTGGCCACATGACTTACCTGCCATCTGCATCTTTCGATCCAATCTTCTGGCTTCACCACTGCAATGTCGACAGAATCTTCGCCATGTGGCAGGCTCTCAACCCAAACCAATATGGAGCATCTCAGGTCGCTCCACATAGCACTTGGACCATTGCTCAGGGATCCACTCAGAATGCACAATCTCCTTTGACTCCATTCAAGAAGGCTGACGGCAGCTTCTGGAACACGAACGACGTCCGAAGCACCACCAGCGCTTTCAAGTACACCTACCCAGAATTCGCAAACAGCGATGGCAGCGCCACTGCCATCCGCGGATATGTCAACAGACTCTACGGACCCAGCGCCAGTGCCACGGCGGGCTCTTCCAAGCGTGATGCCGAGCCACAGGACCCATCTGTGGCCAGCGCCCTTGCATCAGTATCCAGCGCCGCCGCCCAAGTTGCCGATATCCTCCCCGGAAACCCACTCGCAGCATCCAACGGCTCTCTCTACCAATACGTCGCCAATGTGCAGACTCCTCGGTACACTCTCAACGGAACCTACAACGTCCTTGTCTTCAACGGAAAGCCAGTCTCTGAAGACCCCTCGACCTGGACCACCGACAAGAACCTCATTGGAACGATGGGTGTCATGTCGCAGCCAGGCAAGACCGATCACAACACGATCTGCTCCGGCTCCATCCCGCTTACGCGCACCCTCCAAAACATGGTCGGCGGCGGCAGCGGACTTCTTTCTAGCTTGGCAGAAATTATCGTTGCCCCATATCTCACCAAGAATTTGGAATGGCGCATTGCCCAGGATGGCAAGAGCATCGACACCGGATCTGTCGACGGTTTCGTGGTGTCTGTCGTCACATCCAGCGCCCAACCTCCATCCGATCCCAACGATTTCCCCGAGTACTCGCCTTTCATCCCACTCGTGGACATCACCAAGGGACAATCTGGCGGAGCGAACTCCACCCAACAAGCGGTTCCTCATCCGTGATTGTATCAGCTAGACAGATAGCAAGCAGTAGCAGCACCGGGCCCAGGACGGGGGAAAATTTGTATATATGGTACGGCATGACGTTTGAGGTGTGAAGCGGAGCATCGTTAGGCGGCGTTGATTCTACACTACTTTCTGTGTCGTGTACGATTTCACGACGAGAGATGGACATAATCCAGAGACTTAATAATACTATCATCAGAAAGTCGGAGACAGACAGTAGAACATCTAATCATCAGCTCGTGCTTCTCAAGACTCATGTTCAAGCATCGCGTGTCAGTCAGATCCTGAATCATGCCCTCGTCTCACCGCGTGACTCGATCCCTTGGGTTGCTGTAGAATTTCTTGGTTCGGCATTGTTTGGTGCGAGTCTACTTACTGTAACTTACTGCGGACTTCGCAACGGGGGTTCTGGACTGGACACGGACAAATCTTTCGCACGATGCCCGCGCGCTTGCTCAAACAGTACATGTGGAAATTGTGAAGGACTCGCCCTAGAATATCCCTCGTTTGAGTTCCGCGCGGTACGTTTCCAGCCAAAAGCTTCGTGACGAATCTGACGATGGCGCGAAGAGATTTGTCGTGTATGTTAGGAGTTTTAGTCAAACCTAAATGGAGTCATGAGCACAGCGTTTTACTAGTGATTACTAGGCAATAAGCTACCCGCAATCCTCTAGTTTAGTAGCGTTTAGAACCGCTCGGCGTAGTAACGAATTAGGTTAAGAAGGGCGCCTCTCTCGAGCCTATCGGTAAAGCGGCTATTTAACTATTATAGAAGCAGCAATTTTGTAGTAGAAGAGACTATTATAGATACTAAGAGTTGTTGCTATAGATATGCTATATAATTACTGCCTTCTACGACTATATCGGAAAGCCTAGCTATACTAATTACTATCTCTTCGACCTCGTTATTACTTAGTATATTATCTACGAGCTATTAACTTACTAGGCTTACTAGCGGTTAACTAGCGGTTACTATATGTTCTTATACCTCTTATCTCTCGTCTAACTCGCTCGTTGCTAGGTAGGTTATTAGCGGCTTCGTCTTCCGAGTCGTCTATTATCTAACTATTTAGTCGCCTAGCCGCTTATTCGTAATCCTTATCTCGTATATAGCTTATTATCGTATCTATAGTATACTAGTCTACGTTATAGAAGATAAGAAGCTCCTCGAAGGACGAGAGGCCGGAATCGGTAAAGTAACAGTCGTCTATAGTAATACCGTTAATCTCGCGAATACCGTATATAAAGACCTATAATAGCTTACCCTAATTCTGTTAGCTAGTTAAATAGTAAGTGCCTAGCGGCGCAGGTGGACCTCGTACTAATAGTATATCTCCTATTAAATCTACCTCTTTAACGTCGTCTAAATCGAGCGGTTATAAGGACTATATATTAAGCATTGTCTCGCGGCGCGGTATATTAAAGGAGGGCGGTAGATTAAAGGAGGGCGGTAGAAGGCGCGGAAATAGCCTCGGAGTAAGGTTACCTAGCGGAGGTAATAAGACTATAGGTTAGCGAATAGGTAACGACTAAATACGCCGTTTTAATAGTAACGGTCGTAGTATTATATTAGAATAGACGAGGTAGTGTGTTTCCGGCGTTGTCGGTCGCAATTAAGCGCGAGTAGGTATCGCTAGTTTAGAAGGTAGTTAAGTTGTCTACTATCGCTCGGTCTTACCTATAAAATAGACCTCTTATAGGTTAGCGATAAAATAGTTAATATTTAGTACGTAGCAATTTTCCGAGAAGTCCTTAACCTTCCGTACGTAGAAGGCGTAGAATGCGTCCTTTATAGTACTATTAATAGAAGGGTCGTCCTTAATCCGCTAGTACTTAAGATTTAGTGTTTCTACTACCTCCTTAAAGTGGCCTCGAAGATCTCTTAAAAGAGGTGTTTGTGCTAGGGCAATAGCGTCTTCTTTATAACCTTCGACTACGAGTTATTAAGTGTCGAGAGCGCGCTAGTATTCGTAAGCAAATATAACATTTAGGCCTAGAAATAGCTCGATATATCGTCGCTATTATAGCTCGCTAATCTCGAGTCTATTAAACAGGTAGTTACGTAGAATGTAGTAACAAGGTAGGCGGGTTTAAAACTAGGCGAGGCAGTTATAGCGAGCCGGTGTTATATAGTTATAACTGCGTAGTATGCCTTTATATATAGGTGCTACCTTAGCTTCTATTTTAATAGCAATATCTACCTATTCTCGAATATAATCCTAAGCAGCTAGTAGCTATAGTGTCTCGAAGCCTAGAAGGCCCTTATAGTACTAATATTGTATGCGTTTGCCGAGCCTATAACTAGCTAGCTATGCCTTATAAGCCTGCCTATCGTCGACTTTAAGAACCTCGATAATAGTGCTATATAGTGTATAGAACACTAGGTTGCGCTTGTTGCGGTTATACTTAATAGCATAGTAATAGCCCTCTAAGGGCGAGGTAGTCCTTATTTGTAGCAATAATAGACTATAGAGCCGTACCTAAGTTGCCTATTTCCGTAAAGTTTGGCTATTCTAATTATAGCGTATATATTAGACCTTGTCCTACTATCCTATAGGCTTATGCTCTTGTAACTACTCTTGAATCTATACTATATCGGTACTAACGTCGCCTACGCTACGTGCGTAGTAGATTAAGTAGTAAAACCGCTTAACAATCTCTAGAAATTAGGCCTCTAGAAACGAGCGAAGGAAGGTCTCTTTAACGTACCGCTAGCAGAGGTAAATTCGTACCTAATCGTTATCCTTCTCCGAGAGGTTAATAGCCGCCTATTCTAAGGCCGAGTCGTCGACTATAGCTATAATAGGCTTCTATAGTAGTAACTATACCTTAATAGCTCGAAGTCCGGCTTCTACGAGCTTAGCTTTCTACGATTCTAGCAATAGGTAGCCTGCTAGCAGCTAACAACCTAACGCATTGCGAACATAGATAGTAAAAAGGTTCTAACTAAGGTCGGTAGTCTTATAAGTCGCGTCTAGTAAGAACAACTATATAGTATATAAGTTAGTATTGTTTTGAATTTTTAAAGTTAGTAGTAGGAACTATAGAACGCAAGCTTTAGAAGCTTAGTTATACGCCTGCCTTCTATACTACTACTACTACTACTACTACTACTACTACTACTACTAATAACAACAATACTTACATCTCCTGCCTCGGTATTTAACAACTCTCGTTGCTACTCGCTCTAAAAGACAACACTACGCTCTGTCTTGCCTTTTAGTATCTTCGATATTACCTAGAAATAGAGCTCTTTACCGTCTATATTATTACAAACACCCTTAAGCGCGATAGCAAGGTCGTCTAGCTAGATACTCGTATTTCTACGGTTACTAGTACGAGCCTTCCTTAGGTTAGGCCTAATCTTTAACTACGCTACAATACTAGCCTTTAGGTACTATCCGCTAATCTTGCTAAACTCGTCCTTTAATAGCCCCCTTTTAACGAAGTCTAATACCTTAGCAACGTTAAAAGCGCGCTATTTGTTAGGGCCAAAGAGGCTATACGTAATTAGCATGTAATTAGGCCGAGTGAAGCTAGGGTCTTAGTGCCTTAGGCAGGGCTTAGCGCTTGGCGTTAGGCCAACTCTCCTACCTTCCTCCCTCTCCTCCTAGATCCTTATCGAATACTACCTGTACCCACTACCACCCTATCTACCTGCTAATATACCCTTCTTATACAGTATTCGATCCACCCTTTAAGGGCAGCAGCTAGATAGTCCTTATTTCAAGCTTTTAGCGGTATAGCTACGAAAACTATCGATTTAACTATATTGCGCCCGAAGAACGGGACCTACACGTACTATTCCATTAAACAACCGTACCAATTATTAAGCAGGGCCTTCTACACGGCCTATTATACTAAATCAATCGCACTAAGCCGATATCTACTAATTCCGCTACATCCGTATCTTAGGGGCCTATAATACATTATTAGTGCTACCCCTTATTACAATAGCCGGCTCGTTACGAAACAACAACCGTGCTGCCGCTAGTAGCGCTAGCAATAACAACGCTAGTAGTACAGTTCCCGCTGAAGTGCCTACTAAAGTGCCTCCTACTAAAGAGCCTGCCGGAGAGCCCGTTAAAGAAGAACTTATAATTCTAGGTAACGACCTAGAATTGCCTGTCGACGACATTCTTAATAACATTGTTAACCGTCGATATAGCTAACCAGCCTTTAGTCCCTAGCTAGCAGCGAGACTTTAAGAAGCTACCTAAAACAGGCTTACTATCTTGCGTTAAGAACAATAGCTAAAGGATAATCTTCTTGAGATTCGCCGTCTCTAGGAATCTCTAACAACTACTGCTAAGCTAATAGTAGGACCTTCTTTACTACCTATCTAAAAGAAGGATGCTAAGCTCAAGGACTGTACCGTATTTAACGGCTCCAGTCGCAAGCAATACAATGATTATATACGCGATTGTAAGCTCAACTAACGAAATGTACTAAGGGCCCTTCTAGATGACTATTCACTAGTTGTCTACGCTATGCAGTACATCAATAGCGACCCAAAGCGCACATAGGATGACTATTTCGACTCCCTTAATAACTAGACTGCTGTTTAGTGGCAGACCTATAAAACCATTATACTAAATACCCTTAGAAACCCTATACTAAGGCAACAATATGCTTAGGACCTGTATCTTCGAGCTAAATAGAAGACTAATTAATCGGCTCGCTTATTTGAAGCCTATTTAAAAACCCTTAAAGACGACCTTCCGCCTAAGACTGATTCTATATAGATCTCCGAGATACGCCTAAAACTTAGATAGGAACTTATCCTCGAATTAGACCGTCGTCGTATGTTCGAACAAGCCAATCTAATACGCATTCAATTTATAGTCGAAGTGGAAATAGCCGAACGGGCTATTTAGCTCTAACAACGACTAGAATTAAGGATCCGACTAGCTAGTACTAACCGTAGCAACCGTAGTAGCCGCGGAGGAAACTAAGGTTCCTACTAAGACAACAATGCTAATAATAGGAATAGTAACAACGACCGTAGAAGAAGCCGTAGCCGGCGGCTATATAGAGGAGGCCGTAATAGGGGCCGTAGAAGGGGCTCGTATCCCTATAATACTAACCGCTCGACTAACAATAGCAGTAACAATAGCTACGGCAACAATCTCCCGACCGGATTGAAGTGCTTCAATTGTAATAGTACTAGCTATCTACTAGGCTAATGCGACAAACCTAAGGACTAGGCCCGAATTGACCGTACTTCCGCTAAGTACAGGAAACACCTT